TACCAAAACGCACAACCTTAAAATTTAAAATTCAAACTCAGCGTTGTGACCACATGTTCAAAAACAATAACACATTTCTCATAGCATTTTTTTGGACTACATCTATATTTTCGTTGTCCTCTTATTATCGAGAAGTGAAAAACAAAAACAAATCTATTTCCATACCTGAGGATGTCTGTAGGAACAGATGAAAGCTTGTAAAAACTAAAAAAGACCTTATGCAACTGGAATTTATAAACAGGGATCATATCATTCATATACAGGTTCGGGGTTAGTGTACCTTATTGAAATTGTTTGCGAAGATGTATTCTCGCCATTTAAATCATTAACCTCTATAATTGTTTTTTGTATGAATGATTCATGTAATTATATATATATCTCACATGTGCATTAGGTAATATAAATGGGTGCATATAGGCAGCAAGTATTTGTTTAAACATATTCCATTAAATAGACAAGGTGTACCTATTTTAAAATATTTTTTCTAATTGTTGGATTAAGTATGTTTATAACTGAAATTATGAAGGAATTCTCTACAGTTTATATCTCTTTAAGTATTTCCAGTCAGTCTCAAAAATTCATTTGTAAGTGCATCAATTAATTTTTATTTTTTTGTGTATATTTGATGTCAGATGAATGTGATATTTTTTTAATTTAAACATTTGTCAGTGGCAATATATGGGTTTGAGAAATTTAAATACATTTTAAATTGCATGGTCTTGTGGGTATTCACATCATAGCAGCAGAAATTAGCTTTGTGTTCAAAGAGATAAAAGCATACTTGACGAGAAATAAAACATACAGAAATGACAGGAAAGTATGGTAAATTGTATATTAATTTCATACAATTGTTTTTTTTTGTGTGTGTATTAGTGTGTGCATTTTTTAGGTTACAATTGTTTCCTGGTACATGTAATAAGAGAGAAGTCACTCTGTATTACTACAAGTCATATCACAGAGAGAAGTCGGACATGTGTTGCCTATATGAAGGTTCGTGAAGAGATTGAATTTAACGTCTTTTGGCAGGATATCCTTATTTCCAGCAGGAACAGTTTTTGTTGCATGCTGGGAGTATTTTTATTTTTATCTTTATTTTTTATTTATTTTAAAATGAGTTTAAATATTGTTTTATTTTATTTATAATTTTCATTATTATTATTATTGCTATTTTATTTTTATTAATAATAATAATATCTCTACAGTTGTTTTATTAATTATTGGTTGTTTTTAACTTGATAAAAATAGCTTTTAAAATTTGTAATCTCCTTTTTTTTTTTAAATTTGTATTATTTCATTATGAAGCTGTTTTCGGTTGAAATAAAAATACAAACCTTCATGAGTAGTTAAGCAGATAGTTGATATAAATTTTAGACTTAACATGTTTTCTAGTATTTCATGCATTCTATGAAGATCCTAGTATGAACTTATTGGTTAAGCAATTAGTACCCTTCATACATTACAATATGTCTTGTTATCCTGTATAGAATAAAAAAGTATTTAAATTATTTTATACAAGATAACAACCAATCTGCCCCATCCATGACAAGGTGCCATCAGCTTTTTTTTTTTTTTTTTTTTAATGTGTGGGAGGAGATACATTATTTTTTTTTTTTTTTTAACCTGTCACCCCCATGAGTGACTATAGATAGTAACTACCTATAAGTATCTGTAAATCAACAGACTACAGAGACTATCTGGAATCTGTTCGAGCTGTGCTGGTCAAACTTTCTGCCTCTGGGCAGAGAGGATCCCTAGATTAGGCCATGTCGAAGGGCAGAGTCTCATCCTGGGAAATAGCTACCCGACCCCGTTTTATATGGGGTCTATCGGGAATTTTGGCCAAGCATATGTGCTCGAATTACCCCACATTAAACTTGACCTTGTGCCACATCCTACTTCATGGGGAGGCTGGTAAATATCGACTAGCTGGGATCTTTTGAGTACAACTCAGACTTATGTGAGAACTACTGACCTTCAAATAGTAGCACTCACTACTAGGATGACTTGCGATGACCTTGTGCATAACTGTTACCTTTATTCTTATTGTACTGGTTTTTTACAATAAACATTTACTTATTTTATCTACCTTGTTTTTTCAAGTATATATTCCTATTAGCATTAACACTATGTTTATTTATTCAGTAAAGAATATTCACTATTTGTTGTTTGGTTAAAAAAAATGAAATATAGATACATGGATTTTTTGTATAAATATTTTCTAAAGACATTCAGATGTTAACTTTGAAGCCTGACTAAACACACTAATGAATTGGGCTATAAGTACTATTGTTAAAAAATTTCCAAAAGCAAAACTTGAATTAAAAATAAGCAAAATTTGATCCATTATCTTTGATATTTGGAGTATAAAATCAAAAATAATTTTAAGTGGAACTCAAATGTTTCTTTGCTGAATTGTCACTTTTTAAGAATTTAGTAAACTTAACTTTGATTGACACAAGTTCATAAGTATAAGGCACTAGTGAGTGAAAACTCACTCTAGTAGTAAAAGTCTGCAAGACAAGTTTCTTAATCACTATTCTATGATGAGACACACTCAGCACATACTTTTCCACATTCTAAACACAATACGCACTTTTCGATGTTTCGAACCCTGGACACACTTTTCGACGTTTCGAACCCTGGACACACTTTTCGACGTTTCGAACCCTGGACACACTTTTCGACGTTTCGAACTCTGGACACACTTTTCGACGTTTTAAACTAAATAAATATACATTTTTTTTTTATCTTAGTTAATTTTCTGGGTAAATTATTTCAAATAAGTTCAAAGAAAATTTTTTCTTATATATTTTGGTTTTATGTCTGATGTATCTATCCTATCCTTATAAGCCACACCAAGCCCACCATTGAAGCAATTTGCTTTTCTACTTTGCACTTCAGTAATTGATTATTTTGTCAGAAGATTTAATGTTTGGCAATTTTATTCATTATATATATCATTTCCATGCATAAAATATACAACGTGACCCTCATAGACAAAAGTTTGAAGACAGCTGCTTGGGGGCAATGAGTTGTTTAACTTGTTCACATTAAATTATTGATTGAAGATATAATATCTGTTCAGCTGTTTTCAGCCATTTTTTTCTTTCTACATAGGATTAATATATTGAAATGTTAAGGAAATAAAATTTGACTACAAATTTTCTGAGCATGAAAGAGTTTTTGTCACCTGATCAGGTTGTTCTTATTTTTTCTCAAAATGTCTACATATTCCAGTGCACTTGTTTCTCTTCATCATAATGCTATTCAGTAATTTAATCTCATTTGTTAAAGAGCATGAAATTGAGATGAAGTATTACATTTTAAGCTCATATCCCTTTAACCTCTGGAACTTATTTTATAGGGATGGTGTCTTTACCATTTTAGCCATAGTAGCTTTCATGGTCTGGTGGCATTTTCATTTTGTAGTTATTCTGTCACTAGGCCTCCCTCTAATTTTTCTACACTATATTATCTATCTTCCTATATTCCATGATGTAAACGATCATGACTCTCCACAACTTCCTATCCTTTGTAGCTCTTAGTAAGGTTTGTTGTTTCACTATTCCTCTTAGTCTCTGTTCTGTCATCACAAGCTTGTTAAGTAGCTTACTCACTGGTTTTCTCTATTCCTCTTGCCTCCAATATGTCCTGTGAGTGTCAATTCTCCAAGCTCTTTTTCCTCATTTTGTCTATTACTTTCTCATGAGCTCTTCATTTTCATTGCTTTTTAGGTTCATGCCTTAGCATAAAGTGAACATAAACTCTTTTGTTCAAAATTTGAACATGGCTTATCAATTCTGTTTTCTGTTCTGTTAAATAATAGTTTAGCAGATTATTATTTTTTTTTTTTTAGAAGTGTATTTCTGCTCTTTCTCAATTTGACCTTTGAGGTCTGATACAAGACAAAATAAAGGAAGTCGATTTTGATTGGCTGAACTAGCATGGGAATGATAGAGAAAGGTTTACTGGGAGTTGAGTTTAAACCTTCATACAATGTAAACGTGTTGACTTTGTATCTGGATCTTCTCCCCAATGGAGGGCAAGAGCAACACCACTGGATAGTTAGAAATGTACATGTCGATGTGTTTAATAAATAATTTAGTTAAAATTCCCTTTGTTGAAGTTCTTTTATCTTTGAACTGAAACAACTAGCAATCACTGACTGTGAAAGAAGGCAATGTTATTATTGAATGGAGCCTGTTGGCCCCAAGACCACCCCAGAACGAGGGCCCTATGCAACACTGTCAGAAGACTGCTTACATGTTCTTTGTGAAAACAAATATTTTACTCATGCATCAGTCATATTTTACAGCTTACTGAAAAAGAAATTGTAAATTAAGACAAAATTTTGAGCTGTTTGTATCATTTTTCAAAAATGCTTTCATTAAAAGACTGCTCACAGAAATTTGTCAGTTTCTTAAAAATTAGTTGGTCAATTCTGAAGAAAAAAATATTTCTATTTTAAATTTGACTTTAATTTCTTTAAGTAAATTTTATTTTCCTTTTACCCTTTTATTCATTTGTTTCATTGCAACAGTTTTATTTCCCAGCTGAATTGTTGATGTTTTATGTGAATTCTTGTAATAATTACAAGACAAGCATTAGTTATGTTTCCATTGTATAAAATTTGAGAAATCATTAACATTCCAAATTTTGTATGTAAAAGTGAATTTTATTTTTGGTTTGGTTGATCATTAGGTATATAATCAATAAGAAAATAGAAAACATTTCTTTTGCAAAAATAGTGTTTCTCTTCTTGGTTATACACTAATAAAGACTGAAGAATGGATCTGCTAAGACATTGTGTTAACAACCTCAAAACACAAGGAAGAAATTCAATTGTCTGAACAAAATTTGAAATATCAATTCTTCCACAATATTGACTAGCAAGAATTTGTTGACTTTTTATTTTTTTTTACTGTGAATATTATTCTCTTCTTTAAATTTTCAAAAATAATTTCAATTTTCATTAATCATGTTTTTTTTTTTAATTTCAGAAATTGAAAGAAGAATTAAAGTCAATAATGCTGAATATAACTTACAATTTGATTATGCCGTGAGTTTGTTTTATTTTATTATTTTATCCCAATTCTGCTACATTTTTTTTTATTTTACTTCAGTTTCTCTGTGTTTTTTTGTTTGTTCAATTTTTCTGTGATTTTTTGTTTCTTTGTTCGATTTTTCTCTGATTTTTTTTTTGTTTCTTTGTTCCATTTTGCTGTGATTTTTTGTTTCTTTGTTCCATCTTCTCTGTTTTTTCACTTTCAAATTCTTTGTTTTGTGTTTCTTTGCTTTTTTGCTTAAACTACTCTGCATTTTTGTCACATCAACTTCTATGCATTTTATTTTTTTTTCTTCACTTCTCTGCATTTTTTTTTTTTTTTTTTGCATCTTTGCATATTTTGATTTATATTTTTTTTTTTTGGATTTTTTTTTACTTCAACTTCTCTGCATTTTTCTTTAACTTTTATGCTTATTGTTTTCAAATAAACTTTGCATTTTTTTTTTATTTTTTTACTTTAATTTCTTTCACTGCATTTTTTTTTTTTTTTTACTTCAATTTTTTTTTCTTCTTCTCAATGGGCATGAAGATGAGTTGATCAATAAGTTCATAGCCTAACATGTAGCTATGAGCTGGTTTTTGATGTGAATTTTTACTGATTTTTTTTAGATCTAGGCGAAACAGTAAGATAAGTGCATTGGCAAGGAATGAGATTATGTTGGAAATATTTTTTTTCTTTTTTAGCTGTATGCTTCTGGTATATTTATGTGTGTGTGTTATATAATACACATACACATAGACATACACACACTGATATCAGTATTACTGTTTGAAATTTTCTTTATTTTAGAAATTGCTTATTTTCATGACATCAGCAGATAAGTTAAACAGATTGTAAAAAAAATTGTTAAAAACCTTATTTAGCAAAATACAAAAAATGCAGTGAAATTTCAAAATGCTCTGATTTTAAAGCTATTACAGATCTAGATCTAATTTTGGGGATTTATCAATAATTTTATATAAAGACACATGTGAATTTTCCAAGATCTTTGAGAGGTTCACCTGAGCCATTGGATGATTTGATATTGAATGATCCATATATATATATATATATATATATATATATATATATATATATATATATATATATAATATTGGCATAGTCAATAAAAATTCTGTCCTTGAAAAGGTAAGGTGACAACAAAATTTCTAACAACTTGGGAACTTTTCAGAAAACCCTCAGAGTAAGTAATAGCATCTCATTATTATTATTATTGTATTTACAACCATAAAGATTTTTTTTTAGTGGGTATGTGTGCTTGTGGGAGTAGATATCTTTATTTACAAACAGTGAAATTAATGGCTACTGGCCTGTATCATCAAGAGTCTTATTAAAGAAAATATTCCTCCTAGCATGGATTGAACCTGCATTCTCCGTTTTTTTTTTTTGTTTTTTTTTGTTTTACTTCTGAGAAACCATCTTTTAGCTCATTACATGTCCACAATAAATAAACAGGTTCACAGTAAATTTTTGCTAAGGATTTGTTCTTGGCATAAAGAAAAATCTCATTGCACATTTCATCTTTGTTTGTGCGCCATTTTGTTGTGATAACACATAAAAACATTATGTACTATATTCACTGTTCTGGCTGATGCAAGAAGTATTGCATACTCCCTCTGTTGCTTTGTGCTTACAGCTTTTACATTGTTTTAATTTCACTTGATTTATATCTATATATAATATTCAATTTTGAATGTGCCTTGCATGCCCCCCACCCATATATATATATATATATATATAAAAAGTGAACATTGAAGTCAACACTTAGAGGTGACAGGCTGTTTCATGCTAGGCACAATCGTCCTGACGATTGTGTCTAGCATGAAACAGCCTGTCACCTTTAAGTGTTGACTTCAATGTTCACTTTTATATTTACACATGCTCTCTCAGATATTGAGCACTTTATCCCATAAATATAGCACACCTTAAGAGCATATTTCTTCATATATACATCTTTGATAGAACTCTCTAGATAAAAGGGTAAATTTAATAAAAACAGTGGCTGCTGCTATGAATGCATTACTCTTCAAGTACGAATTGAGTTCTCTTAGCCACTGGCATATTTCGTATAGGAAAATAATAAAATTTCCCTTTCTCTCTACTGTGTGTATGTATGTATGTGTATATATATTATATATATAGTAGCGGCCATAATATAAGGAACGGAAACAACAAAGACATAAGTATGTGTATTACTTAAAAAGTAATGCATGATTAGCAATGAAATCTTTACCGAATAAAGATTAGGGTGTAATGCATAAATATTATACAAAGTTACAAAAATTTACATAATAGTTAATTTTTTAAATAAAGATTAAATGGAACAAAGGAAATAAGCTACTGGACAAAAGTTAAGGAACGATCTTGTTAATACTTGATTGTGAACAAAATATCAGCAAAATTTACTTTTACACATATTTATGTCTTTGTTGTTTCCGTTCCTTATGTGACGGAGTACACCTGGTCCAGGGTCGAATCCTTTGGTTACGGCGCCAACTGTGACGTCGCTCCTCCTGGTCGCTCTTCGCTGTTCCAAGCGTGCCGTTCCAACCCCTTGGTTAGATGATTACCAGCCTCGCCTTTCTCAACCCGCTTCCAACACCTGGTTACTAGAGTAACTGTACTGATCTCCGGTCTGTCTACCCACATTGTGATTAGATCTTAGACAGACGGGACCAACAGGGATTGGGGCCGTATGCAAGTTGAGTTCGACGGGGGTGGCAAAACACAAGTAAAAGAAAAAAAACTCACGAGACAAAAAAATCACTGATAAAAAAGGGTAACAACCTTTTATATCTAATGTTCGTTACATAAAAATTGTTCTTACTTCCCGACCCGCTTTGTGGACTGTGGCACCAAGCTTCTATCATACAACTTAAAGACTTCGAATTGTCTACTCTTCAGAATTGTGTATGTCGGAGTGTGGTCTAGTTCGACACTGGGGCTAATCTCTACCAGTCGTTCACAGCTGATTCTTCTCTTCGGCTTGAGTTGGACATATTTCTTCACTTCGATCTGGTTTGGTCGAGTTTCTGTTCTTGGGCTTGGCTTGATTTCAACTTCTTCTTCTTCCGTCCTGCAACTCTTTTCTGTCGACTGAGGTGGAACTGATTTGCTTGTTTGGCCTGCAACTTTACTTTGGCTTGTCTGGCCTGCAGCTCTTCGGCCTGTCTGGCCTACAGCTCTTCTTCTTATCTTCGACTTGGCTGCAACTTCTCTGCGGCTTTCAAGCAATCTTCTTCTTCGACTTGGGCTGGAAGGATTTCTTGTCTTAGGATTCTCTTGCCGAAAGGCGGGCGAATGAACCCGGGCCCGATGCCGTTCCAACTGCTCTGGCCGTCTACCCCGCAACTCAGCCACAACTGATTTCTGTCGATTGGGGTCCTGCTTTTATTGACGCCGCAACAAACCGGGGTGGGTTTGTCGGCGTCAGGGTTTCGATAATTCCAATAGTCGCATCATTTCTGATTTCCCATTATCGCTATTATTTTCACCCCTACTTCCTCACAGTGCCTCTGGGGGAAGACGATACCAATCTCTCCCGGTCTCTCGTATGTCAGGTGATCGTTTTCGACCAATGGTTCTTGATCGAGCATTCTTTCTCCTCTTTCCGCATATCACGTGACCATTTTCGCTAATGAGATTCTGGTTGGGCGTCTCCCGTATATATGTGACGTCTCCAATCGGGCGTGGCTTATCCGTCCTTGTTCTGGGAAGGATCAGCTTGCTAAAAAAACAAAATCAATTTGGTCTTTTTTCGCACACGAAAAAACGATAATCTTGGCTTTTTCTCACCTGGGTTCTGTCAAAACAGCCGCCGCTAATTAGATATGACTTCAGGAAGAATTCTTTCCGCCTTCTTGGTGTCCTCTGTGAGCCTAGAGCAATTGTCTTTTTCACCTCTTTGTATTTGCTCAGACCTGATAGTCAAAAATCTTAATTATCTGAATTGAAAATGTCTTCACTTCATCATCGTGGGAGTTCTGATCTTTAACAGGTCAGAATCTGTATACACTTCCAGCGGTCACCCCCTCATCCCAAAAGACACCTTTCCTCCGATTAAAATTTCGTTTCCATTGTTCTAAAGATCCCATTTCTCCAAGTTGATAATGAGTCTTCTACGCAAAAGTCGGTCATATGCTCCGATTGACATTTTTATCAATCGCCTATATGTTTATACACTTTTATCAAGCCTGGTCTCTTTCTCTCTCTAAATGACTTTTCATTCTAAATAACAATTCCCATTGTCTTCCGAAAATTCGGCCAACATGTTGGCCTAGATACCTTTCTGACACCTGTTTTCGCTAATGACCGGCCTTTTGCATTTCTCGACCTCTCTCTTTTTTTTCCTCCCTCTCTCTTTCTCTGTTCCTTCCTTTTCTCTTCCTCTCTTTTCCTTTTCTTTTAGGATCGTCTAAGTACAATTTAGTGAATTATTTTCAAACTCAATTATTCTTCGTCTAAAAAAAACTAACGACTGGTTAATAAACCGAGTAGAAAAAAAATTAAATCATATTTCTATGAATATTTCTTTTTTTTTAATAATGCAAGGTGCCATACTTATATTATGGCCGCTACTATATATATATATATATATATATATATATATATATATATATATATATATATATATAGTTATCCACAGACAGACTGTTTCGTTGTATCACAGCTCTTCTGTGTGGCTAGATGTCCGATTGCTTCAAGCCAGGATCTCAAATCCCATCTGATTTGACCGGTCAGAGATGCTACCCCTAAACTATCATTGCACAGCAGAGAGGGAAATTTTAACATTTTCTATATGAAATATACCAGTGGCCCAAATAGCTATATACATATATATATGACATCCGTCAGTCTCGAGAGACTATGGATCTGTTCCTGGAAAGTTATGCCCTCTTCATGGTGCAAGCTTGGGCATTTTTTTTTTATGAGAGATTGGCAGTTACCTATGCAGCATGTGTCCCCTCTTTATGCTATCAATGTTGTTCAAGTGAAAGGTAGAAGCCAATACAGCTTGGAATTGACATCATCACAGGAGTTGCTATAACGAAGTTGGACATGACATTTGACTGTCTTAGGGACTCCAGCTCCAGTTTTGAATTCAGAGTTTTTCCTTCTAGACCAATTGCCATCCAAGGCTATAGAACTTGGTCTGTCCTTCTATTTACCCATAGCTGAGTGGGGAGGAGATGGATTCATACCTTTCCCAAGGGTATTAGCATGTAAGTGAATGTAATGAATTTGAACTTTGCTCTCCAATTCCTCAATCCAAGCCTCCACTGTGCCTCCATGCATATATATATATATATATATATATATACACACACACACACACAAGCTGTTTCATTTTTTTTTTTTTTTTAAATAGATGTCTGTATATTATTAACACTTCTGTTGTTTTTATATTCTTCAAAATGAATGCATCAGCATGGCAGGCAGTATTTGAAAATAATTGAATTTTTTTTGTTTATTCAATTATTCACATTCTTAAATTATATAATTTATAATTTCTCCTCCATGTATAGATTGCAATTTCTGTCACTGTTTCTCTGAATTTACTTTTGAAAAATGTGAAAAGAGAAATAGAACTCAGGAGCATTAATAGCAAGCAGTCACCCATTTTGAAAAATCTCTAAGTGTGAAACTGTTGTTTTTTTTATGCATATTAAAAAGCTTTTTCAAAAGTATTTAAAATAGAGCATTTTTATATAAGTAAGAAAAGCAATATATATATTGTCATCCACTGACAGACTGTTTCACTGTATCACAGCTCATCAGTGTGACTAGATATCTGGTTGCCTCTAGCTATCATCGAAAACCAGTTGAATTGGTATCAGTCGGATAATCTACCCCTAAGCTGTTGGTGCATGGCAAAGATGAAGGTGAATTTAAGCGTATTTATTCCTAGATAAACATGCCAGTGACTGAGAAAACTCAGTTCATTTTATTGAAGAGTATTGCATTAGTAGCAGCAATAGTCACTGTTTACAAACTCACACTTCTTATATATATGTGAATGTCAGTTGTCACTGTGTTACACTTTTTCAACTTTATTTCTAGAGGCCATAGCCCAACATATCATACCATTTTGGAATCAGGTCGACTCCATGAGCAAATTAAAACCATTCTAGCTTGGATCCGGACCCACACTCCTGAAATTTTGGATTCCCAATTTTTCATTATTGCAACTGTTTTTGGATTCCATCATCTTGGCTTCTACTGATAAAAACATTTACTACTACTGTACTGATGCGGCATTCACCCTGGGCGGATTGAGCCGGTTTCTTCCTGTTATGAGAAGAAGATTCTTGGGATAAATTACAGAAGTAGGGTACCCAGGCCTACTCGGATAACGTTCTTGCTTGCCGCGGGGTTCCCACAGACGCAGAGACAGGAACGACCAGAAGCCGCCGGTTACCGATGCAGACGCCCTTGATTTTCACCAGAGCCCTTGTTAGCGGCATGTGTGTCAGACCTGTCCGCCTTTGGGTGGCCCTACAAGGAATGAAGTTCAGGCGGCATAGCTCTGACACTACCGTTTACACCCCCCTCCGACTGTGAGGTAAGGGTTGGACTTTGGGGGCTTACAGTACCAGATGTTCCCAAGCGGTCCCCCATCTAAGTACTGACCTGGCTCTACGCTGCTTAACTTCGGTGATCGTACGAGAACCGGTGTTTCAGCGTGATTTGACCGTAAGCTTGATAAAAACATTTAAAGGGACACAACTCTTTCATGTTCAAATGAAAAAATTACTGTTCTCAAATTAGTGTTTGAAAATAAAATTCTGTGTTTTCAACTTTACTCCTAGAGGCTGTAGCCCAGCATATCATACCATTTTGGAATCAGGATGACTCCGTGATCAAATTAAAAATATTCCAGGCCAGATCCAAACCTGCAATTTTGAAATTTTGGATTCCCAAGTTTTCATTACTGCGATTGTTTTCAGTGTTTTTTTTTAAATTTGATTTTGCAACAAAATTTTTTTATGATAACAATTTTTATAACTTGGAAATAAATTTGGGAATAATCAAAATTAATTGTGAAATCCAGCAAAAGTCACCCATGAAATAAAAATAATTGTTTGTTTAGAAAGTAAGGACTTACAAACATCAAATTAAGTGGTAGCAGAATAAGAATTATTGTTAAACTTTTAAAAGGTAAGCTTAAATATTAATGCAATCACTTTTGAGTTCTTCTGTAGTTTATTGTTGCCTATCCCATCTATTTGTGACTGTTGTGATGAAGGTCTAATCAAGAGCCTTCAGCAGGAGCTAACTTAAATGACACCTGATAGTGTGACTTTTAAGCTAGTGTGTGTGTATATATATATATATATATATATATATATATATATATATATATATATATATAGTTTTAAGGTGTAATATATTTAGGGGATGAAGTGCTCAATATCAGAGATAGAGAATATGTAAATATAAAAGTGAACATTGAAGTCAATACTCAGATGTGACAGGCTGTTTCATACTAGACGCAATTGTTGGGCCACCTGACGATTACATCTAGCATGAAACAGCCTGTCACCTCTGACTGTTGACTTCAATGTTCACTTTGATATTATATATAATATCAGAATAATGCTAGGTAATTGAATGACAAAATAGAAAATTCTGTATAATGCATTTCATCTACCAGGACCTCATCAGACAATCTAGTCCTTTTGGAGCAGTGGTGCCCAACCTTTTTTGGCCAATGTACCCATTTCACCACGTCAGAATATCACCAACCCCCTTTTCAAGATTGTCCAACTCAAAATATGCATTCATTATTGGAAATTTTCATTCTTTTCCATATTAGTACATATACATTTACATGGATTATTTTTATAGAGGATTTTTTTTTTTTTTTGCACTCATAATGAGCTCTAAATTCTGTAAATAGAAAACAAGAAAAAAAACTCCCCCCTCCTACTGATACTACCCTCTGATTGAGAGCCCCTGTTCTCGAGGATGAAATGCATCATGCAGAATTTGTAATTCAGTGGCCTAACACACACACACACACACTACAGTTCAAAAGTTTGATCCCCCCCACCGAATTAGCATAGAATGAACTTGACAGAAGAGTGAAAAAAAAAAAATGAAAAAAGTGATCCTAGAGTCAATGAAAAAAGAATGGAATCAATTATCAAACTTATACTTTAAGTAATTTTTGCAACGAATGCCAAAAATTTGTGCTGTGGTAATCAAGGCTAAAGGAGGATTTTTTGATCAAAATTTAATCATAAAATCCTTTTTTTTTTCTTTTTGTCATAATAAAATTTCTAATAAAAAAAATCATGTATCTCTTTTTTTCAACATGTATAATAATTTTCTTTTATTTAAAGTACAAACCAACTACTTTTGGCAACAATTTAAAAAATTACTGTGGGTAGCCTCAAACTTTTGAATTGTAATATATATTATATACACAAATGCATTTTTATTTTCATAGATACAAATATTTGAGTAGACTTATATTAATCATTTTTCTTTGTCACCATTTAACTTTGTCTATCAGTCTAGATATAGAAAGTCTTTTTGAATTCAGTGTATCCCTCAGCATAGATTGAACCTCTTGTTCCCTAGCCTGAGGGAATACAGCTTCAATATATGTATGTTTAGTTAAAACCGACAAAATTTTAAAAAGATTTTTTAATTTATTTTCTTTTCATTTTGGATGATTTTTTTTCCATCTTGTGAAGGTGATGGGAGACAAAATTCTGACCTTGTTGTGGCAGGGGTGGGCACTTATTCCTTGCCTTGTTGGTGGTAATGGAAGCCTGAAGTAATTGATGTTATGAATGTGATGCCAAAGAAATATTAAGAGAAAAACAAACCCTTTTTTTTCTTTTCTCTTTCAGACGAATTATATCAGCACCTCCAAGTACAATGTTCTCACATTCCTGCCTAAAAACTTGTTTGAACAATTGCAGCGATTGGCCAATGCATACTTTATTGTTTTACTTATTTTACAGGTATGGAAAATATTTCTATCAGCAAACATATTTTTTATAATATCATGATTATATAAGTTGTAATGATTTTTTTTTTTTTAAATCTGACCTAATATTAGCCTATTCTTTCCAAGAATTTTTGACAGCATAAAAATACATACATTTCTTGTAGGTTATATTATCATTAAAGTTCAAATAAATAATCCCTTTTGCATAAAGCTGAGACTTTTTAAAGGATCAGTATAAATATTTCTTTGATAAAATTCTCACTGGAATTTTTAAGATAATTCCTTGATAATTGTGTGTAGAAATTCTCCAGCTTTTTTAAAATTTTAAGTACTAAAGTCAACCCAATACAAGTCTTGAGACTTATATTGGGTTGAAGGTTACTATTAAAATGATTATGATAAATGAGGTGGGTAATATAAATGAAAGCAGAGAAGGTAGGTAGTGAAGATTAATGTGGATAGATAATGATTTACCTTCGACTAAGACTTTAGGGAAGTATCTCTGCGGGATTCTGTTCCACAAAGTAGGTTTGTTTAAAAACAAAAGCTTTTTGACTGGAACTTTGTTTTTTTTTTAATATGGGGGGTGATTTGACTCTATGGAAGCAGCATGATATGTCCTAGTTTTGAAAGTCTGAACTAATAGAACTAAAGAATGGAGCTCATCTGAACATTTACTATAGAAATAGAGTAGCATTAAGTTTGCAAAGTTGCATTTGTAGGAAAAGAGGCAGCAGAGTGGATAATGTCTTCCCCATGAAACTGCATAAAATTTTGAACTTTATCAAAGCTGAAAAGTGATGATTGAGTCTCATTTTTTTTTGTCTAATCTGATTCTTTTAAAAATAAAGCATGGCAGGAGTCATCATTTACTTCTGGAGTAATAGAATGAGCACCTATTTTTTCCTCATATATTTAACAATGGATCATAGGGATGTATTTCACATGAAGTCTGTAGTGAACATAAAATTCAAATAGACCTTCAAAAATCTTCTGTTGAACCTTGTTCATCTTTTATCCTTTTCTCATACCCCCCCCACTCTATAACCAGTCTTTTCTCTCACTTTCACTCTCTGTAACCCCCTGCATGCTAGTGGCACCACCACCTTGCTTGGGGTGAAATGCTTAAAAATAAAATCATAGTGCCTCATTGAGAATGCAACCATCCATTTTGACTGGAAAAGCCCTAGCATCTTATTGGTGATAATGAAATGATCCGAGTTTGGTTTTTGACGCACTGTATATTAGCATGTAGAGAAAGACTGTTTATTTATACCTATTTTCTCCTGTGTATTCCATATTAATTTTCAAGCCTTGTACTTTTTCAAGTTTTCTTTTATGTGCCATATCTCTTCACAGTGCAGATGATCATGGCTCTCCACAGCTTCTTATCCTTTATAACTTGGTATATAATGTTCGTCTCTTTGCTATCACTTTCAGTCCATGTTCTGCAAGTTTGTTGGATATGTTGCTCTGTTGATTTTTCTTGGCTCTCTTTGCCTTCAATAAGCCCTGTGATTGTTGCCTAAACCCATGCGAAAAATGAAAATTAGAAAATGGCTTCTAAAATCAACAATAGTATTATGTTTTTTGGGTTTTTTTTTGCTTGATGCAGCATCCAGAAACATCATGTAATCCTAGCTCTTCCACAATAGTCACAAACAGACAATGATAAGAAAAAGGGGTCATATGAAAAGCTAACAGAAGAGTAGAAGTCTGGAATATAATGTCAAAAATATCAAAGTTAATAAAATAATTTATTCTAGAAATACCTATATAGGTTTTCTTACTTGAATTTTCTGATAAATCTTAATACTTAAGTTAATGATTGAATAATCTCATGGTGAGTTCTACAACAATAAAATTCATCTATTGTTTTGTTAAAGATTTGAGCTTAAAAACTTTGACAAAATATTGCAATAAAAATCATAAATATGAATGCTGGCCATTATTTTAAGAAGTGGGTACAAATGAAAAGATTTGAAGTTGACAACTTTTCCATTTCACTGAAATTGATATTAAACACTTCTATCTTCCCTTCCTTCATTTATTCTCTCACTGAAACCAAGTAATAAATCTGATATGACTTTCTGTGTGATCAAAACAGAAGAGTTCATTATTTATGGCTGTAACATCATATGAAATTGTTAACTAATGAACTAAGGGAAGGACAAACAGAATTATAAGATGCTTTAATTTTTTTCATAATTACCTCATAATTAAACTATTACTTTGAAAAATCATTGTTCAAAGTTAACAGCAGGTTTTTTTTCTCAGAAACATCTTTTGGTAATGCCAATAAAACTGAAAACAATAGCAGTTTTCAAAATTGTGAATTTCATATTGATCAAACAATTGTTACAGCTTTATGGTGTTCCTGTAGTTTTATCTTAAGTGGGTAGCCTGTTTCTCCTTTATATTTCTTGCCACAACTGCATGGGATTGCATACACACAGTCCTTAATCATGCTGTCCTCTATGGGAGGTTTTACCCTGAAGACATTTCTGCAAAGTGTTGAACTACTTTTGAAGGTCATCCTGATGTTATATGGACCACATATCTTTTGTATTTTTTCTAATAATCCCTTTACATAGTGTGGGCAGACCAAGGCTGTCTTCTGAGTGTTGTTATCCTCTTGCACCCTTCTATCCCAATTTGTCAGAGCTGCTGTCATGTACCCAGGGTAGTTATGTTATTGGGTACTGCTTATACTGGCTATTTCTTGTTCATGTCTCTGGGTCACCACTTATGACTTTTGCTTGATGTTGTAAGCAGCGGACGATTCCTTTCTTTACACTGTAAGGTGGTAGGAGTTGAGGTAAATCTCTGGTGAATGTTGGTTTGCGATAAATATGGATATCTTGAACCTATCCTTTGTTTGCAATATTAGTACATCCATGAATGCTAGTTGTTTTCTTTCTCCATTGTGAACTGTATTGATGATCTTATTAAGTTCACATGGTCCAGTAGTAGCTTGATCTCTTCGTGGTGTGGACCCTGTGATATCCAAATATTGCATCAGAAACACATTTTCATTTAATTTTGGTTCACAACAAAGTTGTAAATTTCTTCTTTTATTTACAGAATTAGTCTGTCTCTAGGGGCTTCACAAGATCATTTGCTGACTAGGTGAGGTTAGTGATCGTAGTTGATATTATCTCATTATGAATTGATTTTATCAACACTGGCTTATTATCAAGCCCCTGATTGTTAAGGTGGTAAAAGGTAGTGGTCAGTGAAGGCTGTAGTCTTTTGTGTATTGATTAACATAAAACCTAGACAGTGTGGGCCAATAGCCTGTTTGACCAGTCAGAGTTGATTTCATCACCAGCATGTACACTCATCTCCTTGTGGGTGGTGGGGCTGGTGAAGTCTGGCTGTCTTGAACAAAGGATATTTATTCAGCTGCTTCTTACTTTGTTACTGAATCTTTTTTTCTCCATTAAATTTTATCTGAAATGTAGTTCAATATGATTGTCTTTTGCAAAAGACACAATCTTCATGTGTTCAAGATACAAATGCCTAACTGTTTAAGGTATTTTCATACATGCAAAATCTCTGCAATTTTGGCTAAAAATGGAGCTGCACCTATTTCTACAAGAACCATTAAAGTTATATAAAAATGCAGGAATTATATCCTCTAGACCTAATCTAATCTCAAAAATAATCATTAAATAAAATCAGTGAAAGAGAATTCAGACTAAACTAATATGTACTCAAATAAATTAAAACTTTCTTAAAGTCTTAGATATGGACCATTATCAATTTATTGGCTGGTATTTCTTTCATCTTAATTTCTGTTACTTCTTATTGTAATTCCCAGATTGTCATTTTATATGTTGATTGATTTGTTTTTTACGGCTTAACAACCCATTGCAGGTTATATTTTTATATATTTTTTATATATATATATATATTTTTTTTTTTTTTTAAATAATGAATTATTAATACAAATCTTATTAATTAACGCATATCTGGGTGGGGAGAAGAGGTGGGTGGATTCATGTGTTTCCCAAGGTTATTTGGGTGAAACTGACTATAATGAACCTAACTGGAATTGGAACTCTGCTCTCTGATTAACAATTCTGAGCCATTATCCATTAAACTACCCACACATCCAATCTTACAGCACCTTGTATTCCCAACTGGTCACTCATCTAAGTACTGGCCAGACTTGATGTTGCTTAACGTTGGTGATCATACAGGTACCAGTGTCTCAACATGATGTAGTGGTAAGCTTGTCATTTTATAGTCACTACAATCTAAAACTTTTAGTGTATAAAAAAAAAAGATGGTGACATTGTTGTAGAGCAGGGGTTCCCAACCGTTTTTGCACCACCTCCCAGCTGTATAGTAAATATTCAAAAGCATACAGTGATGGGTAAGTTATGTTTTGCTGGGTACTTTTCCCGCTTTGATAAATTTGATATGGCCAATGTAATAAAAAAAGTAAAAACAATTTTATATTAAATAAAAATTATCTTGAGGTTACTTTTCTACAAATACTTGCATGTTAGCTGCTCCAATGAGCTGCTTTCACTGGTTCCTAAACTGCATGAATTTAAACGTGCTACTAGGTTGGCATCTCAATCCCACCATTTCACTGTCGAAATGGTTAAATGTAGCTGTCTCTTCTACTCCAATAGCTTCATGTCTCACAATTCCTGTCTGTGGAACCCCCTTCCTCTTACTTACTTCCTTGATAGCTATAATCAACTATTCAAATGCAATGTCAATCGACATCTCCAGATGCCTTGATATAATTCCCCATACTTCTCTTCATCCTTTCCTCTATCGCACCTCTTTACTATTGCTCCCACTCTCTGTAACCCCTTGCATGCTAGTGGCACTCCCACCTTGCGTGGGGTGAAATGCTTAAAAAAAAAAAAAATCTTAATTTTACTGGTAAAGTTGTTCTTGGCCTTCCCTCATTTGAGATATATATATATAAATCAATGTTATTTCGTTTAAAGAACTATTTTAATGATAACACCCCTTCTCAAAACTATAGAA